TTGTCCGGACACTGCCTTCAATTCCTGCGATTTATGCTAATCTTTTTGATGTGTAGGCAGGAAACGCACGCTCTGCGTGCCATACTAGCTATCCTTCTGAGGCTTCTCAACGATCCTCGGTCGGAACCTGTGCAAGACCGAGTTGCGAAAGGAGTGCTCAAGTAAGCTTCCATGTTCTTATTTTTTCTCTCCAAAATCTCGAATTTTCTATCAGTGTTGTATCGGCTGTACTTCGTGGCTATGGAGAAGCTGGCTCTGATGCTCGTCGCACAGCGTACGCTCCCGTAGTTTGCGAATTACTGCAAGAATGTCTTCGTCTGCCTCCTCATCTCCTACCCGCGCTGGGCGCCGAGTTTCCGATGCATTTGTGCGAACTTGTTGAGATTGCTGAGGGACAGCCCTTGCGATCACTTTTGGCTACATTACTACGGCAGTTCTTAGCCAGCAAGAATTGTGTTACAACAAATACAAATGCTAAACCTGTGATCAATGGTGTCTCTGAGTAGATTTATCCTAGCCACTGAGTTGATTTTCTCAAAACCAGAGAGTTCCTCTTCTACTTATTTCTTAATATGTTTATGTACATGTACAGTGAGCTTGCAAAGTGGTACATGTGGCTAATGCTTTTATAGCTCATTCTCAATTCATTCCCTTGGGCTTGTTGCTGTTTATATCGTTTTGGTTTCTTAGTAGGTTTTCCGATTCTATTGCTTATCTATCGTTGGGGTAGTGACACTGTCTATGTCAGAATTTTTGACAGTGAATGTAATTCAAAAACTAACTTATTGTGCATATACCGACTCGTATATGCCATTGTCTATGCATATCTTCGTACCAAAACGCCCGATATTGTTTCATGCAGGCCGTGAATGATCACTTGTCAGTGAACTGGTCTTCAGTGGGCTGCTCTTCCTTTCATATTCCTCCACGGTTGTACCATATATGGCGAATCCCCAGTCCTCCATGTGATTATCGATTTTGTTCTCAGCAAATTTCACAGAAAATCTAGCGAACCGCTTCTTCCTCTTTATCACGTAACTTATCTGCAGGTGAGTAAGTGTGATATATGTTTTTTTTT